AAAATTTAATTCTTATAAAGAATTTTATTACTAAATTTTTAAATAATTGAATTCTTTTAACGAATTTTAATAAAATTTTTAAGAATAGTTACATTTTTTAAGGAATTTGATTAAAATTGTATTAAAAATAATTGAAATTCTGTGATGAATTTTGTTATTTCTGAAAAAATTGAATTATTGAGAAGAAATTTATAAAAAAATTTGAAAATAATTGAATTCTTGTGAAACTTTTATTATTTATGAAAATAAGTGAATTATTAACCAGAAATAATTGAATTCTTTTGACGAATTTTAATAAAATTTTTAAGAATAATTACATTTTTCGAGGAATTCGATTAAGTATTAAATATAATTGAAATTCTCCGATGAATTTTATTATTTATGAAAATTAGTGAATTATTACTAAGAAATTTATAAAACATTTGTAAATAATTGAATTTTGGTGGAATTTTTATTATTTCATGAAAATATTTAAAGGTTTGCGTAGAATGTTATTAAATTGTTTTTTAAATAATTGAATTCTTTTGGTAAATTTTATTAAAATAGTAGATATTAAAAATCATTGAATTGAAGAAAATTTTTAAAGATAATTGAAATTTTGCTAACAATTTGATTAAAATTTTGGAAAATAATTGAATTTCAGAGAAGAATTTTATTATTTATAAAGATAATTGAGATTTTGACGACATTTTTTTTCAAGTTTGAACATAATAATAATAATTTCATAGTATATGTGAGGCAAATAAAAATGGTACAAAATTCAGAATTTTCTTATGAATTCTAAAAATTAAATTTTTTTCAGTACTTTTAATATAAATTCCTGACTTTTCTCTTCATTATCTGTGTCAAAATATATGATAATTTAATTTATATTTTAATTAACAATCTTTTTATTTAAAATAAATATTGCCATTTGCTAGAACTATTAAATTGACGAAATAACACGTTCTTTTATATTGAAGTAGACTTTATTGCGATTAAATTTAGTATATATGTGTGGATTAAACTATGTTTTGGAAACCAAAAAAAGTTGCTTTTAATAATTCATATATTCAAAAATGTTTTTTTCATATTTTTTAAATACTGAAATATTGCCTAAAATATTAATAGAGAAAATTTTGTATAATCAGATGTGCATTTTCTTTTCCGTCATTATTCACGGCACGTGTTGTCATGAAAACAATAGGATAGAAAAGAGAAGGTAAATTATCTGACCACGACTTTATACATTCCGCTCCTAATGGGTTATCCTAATTGCTATTTAATCGGATTGACATTAAACAGAATTGTTATTTAACCGAATTTTTATTTCTTTGAATAATTTCATTTAACCAAACTCTCTTGTTTTATAAAATTTCTTTTAATGGAAATGCTTAATTTCCTTATACGGCAAAATTCAATAATAATCAAATTGCAACGAATTGATAACAAAAACGTGGATCAAATCAAAAAATGATCTAAATTTATGGCATCAATTTGATCCACTTTAGTATCAATTTGATATTTTTAAAAAAACTGTGTTAATATATATATATACGTTAAAAAGAAAAATTATATATTTTTTTAGGAAGAGTTCCACTATAATTGACAGAAAAAAGTTACTGAAACAATTTCGCCACTTCACCTCATTTATATTATACTTATGCATACTTCTCTTTATAAAATTAATTCAAAAAACAATAACTAAATGGCGTCACTTGTCTAGAGTTTAAGTTGTTTCACAGAGAGAGAATATATATTAAATTTTGTAAAAATATTTTCAAATTAGGGAAAAAGTGCGACAAAGCGAAATTTTGATATAAAAAATACTAAACTTTAAAAAAACTTATGTGAAATATTAGTATAATTATATCAAATATCAAGAATATTAATTAAATTCTAATATAACTATAATAAATTTCACAAAACTTTTTTTAAAGTTTAGTATTTTCTATATCAAAATTTCGCTTTGTTGCACTTTTTCCCTAATTTGAAAATATTTTTACAAAATTTAATATATATTCTCTCTCCGTGTTGTTAAGATCCCGCTATTTTTAAATATTAGGCGTTATCGTTAAAATTCATAAAAATTTTACCCTTTTTCATTTCTCGTTTCAAAGTTATAATAACCTAATATTACAAAGTAATATTAGGCTACGTTTTCTATTATTTTTTTAAATTTTTTAAACAAAAAAATTAGTTTTCAAGAAATTATCTCTAAATTTAAATCAGTTTTTTCAAATTATTTGAAAAATATTTAGGTATTCGATTAAAATAATTTTTATTTGGATCTAATAAATATTTATTTGCGTCAAATAATAATTTGAGTTATTTGAAACAATTAATTGGATATTTGATATTTAAATAAACATTATTTGTCGCAATTAATTTATTTTATGGCTTCAAGTAAACTAAATTATTTAATGTAAACAGTGCATTATTTAATGCTAATAAAGTATATATTTTAAAAAAACAATTAAAAAAAAATATTTGGGTCAAATGAATCACTTATTGAAACGATAATAAACGAGTTATTTGAAACTATTAATATTTTTTTATTTCATTCAAGTAAATGGATGTTAGATATAAAAATATAAAAATTATTTGTCTCAAATTATTTTCTGTAATTGTATTTTAACAATATAAAAATCTATTATATAAATAATAAATGTATTAAATATAATAATTTTAGTAACATTCATATTAATTTTAAATAATTTTATAAAAATAATAAAAAAAAATAGTACCTACATTATAAATCTGGAAATTTTTACACTTGCAATAAATTTATATCAGACATATCGAATATAAAATTTTCCAAGTCAGTTTCATTCCCCGTAGGTTTCAGATTTTAATTCAATAGAAGAATTTAGTGCGCTAATACTTACAAGCTTGATTCCTTAGAAAGTAAAATCGATAGTAGAAAATTTGAATTTTCATTATTTTTAAAATTCTTTTTCGTATTTGAAAATGGAAAAAGATTCGCATTCACTGCTTTATTTTGATGCAAATAAATTTTATATTTGGATTTTTCCTCATTTTAATGATTTTCAATATCTACTATTTTAATAAAATTACTAAAAAAAATGCAATTATTTAAAAATAATTTTAATAACATTCTACGCAAACCATTAAATATTTTCATAAAATAATAAAAATTCCACAAACATTCAATTATTTTCAGAAATAATAAAATTCATTATTGCAGAATTTTAATTATTTGTAATACAATTATTTTAATCAAATTCCTTGGAAAATGTAACTATTCTTAAAATTTTAATTAAAATTTGCCAAAAAAATTCAATTATTTAAAAATTTGTTAATAAAATTCTTTATAAGAATTAAATTTTAAGAAACATTCAATTATTATTCAATAAATAATTTACTTTTGTACTTACAAGGAGATGTCAAAGTCGATGCGATTTTTCCATTGGAAGCTCAATGCAAAAATCCAATCGACTTTGACATCCCCTTAAATAATTAAATTCTCGTAGAATTTTCTAATATAAAAATTGATTTGAAAATTAATTCTACCTTAAATTTTAGATAATAATAAAATATGAAAATAATTTTTAAAAAGTTACAGTAACAATATACTCTTATTAATATGAAATAATGATTTTAACAAACAAATATAACAATATTAATTTATTTCTTTTAAATTGTTTATGAAATTTAATTTCATTTATCATATTTTAGAAAAAATAACCAAAATCTAAAGAATTTTTTTTTTTTTTTTTGACTAGTTTAAAGATTTTTGAAGAAAAATAAGAAAAGTTGGAAGATTTGCCGTTTTAATCAAACACTGAATTAAAGGGGTATTAGCCTTAACTAAAATAATTAATTATGATGAATAATTTGAATACTTGATACAAATAAATATTTAGTTATTTCAAAAAAATTATTTTATTAATAAAATAAATATTTGCAAATAAATATTTATTTTCTTAAAAACCATGTATTATTGAATCAAGTAATTTTCATAATTGACTTAAAGCAATATTTATTAGAATCCAATTATTATTTCATTTATTTGACTTAAGTAATTCGTATTTGGTACAAATAACTATTTATTTGATACAATAAATTTAAATATATTTATGTCCAGTAAATATTGACTTAACTCAAATAAATATTTAATGGATAATAGACAGTTAAACCATTTAATTGAATCAAATAATTTTTTTTTTCCAATGTAGGGACAAAATTTAAATTCTGGTTGGTCAGGGATAGAACCAAATTTCTATATGCTGCAATCCTGCTAATAAATATCAAAAAATCGAATTTTAAGGTGACTTTTTCCTTTTTGACCTTAATTTTAAGGTCAATGCCCCCTGCAAACTTCTTTGGATATATTATTTTCAGTAGATATGCATCAGCCTCTGAAACAAATCTTTTAGTTATTAAAAAAAACCCTAGAGTTAGAAAAAATAAGTATTTAATAAATACTCCCTTAAATATTATTTATTCAATTTTTCATTGACTGCGTCTTTACAATCAATTTCCTCTTTAAAATCTCGCTGCATAAAGCGAGGCGAGAGAGGTATAAAGTTTATCTAAAAGAGTATATTTGATAAACGAAAAAATATTTGAGGGTAACTTTAATGTTTTTATATAAATAGATTTAGCAGAGGGAAAAATTTCGAAAGTAGATGTTTGGAAAATTCTATACCTGAAACAGTTTTCAACCCTCAGGATTTGTAAGGTGAAAAAAGTTTTGTAGCAAACAATAGAGAAGCTTTCTACCCCTCTTAGAGAGTCAAGTATAGTTACGCCACTGAATTCCTCTCTCTCTCCCTCCTCCCTCTCCCTCTGTTCTGTGTCAGAGTACAAGAGTGTCGAGGGGTGTAAGAGAGGGGAAGAGGGTTGGCTGAGGGTGGGGGAGTGAGCGAGAGGGAGGTGCGGGCGAGAAAAGGACGAATGGATGGAATGAGCAACGTCAGCGAGTTGATGATGATGGTGGTGGTGGTAGGATCACGAGCGGTGGTTCGGTTTGGTTGAACGAGGGCGCACAAACGGGCGACTGCTGCCAAGTGGTGAACGGGTCCGTGAACGAAAGAAACTGCTGCTCTGCTGTGCTAGGTCTCTTGTCGGGCGTAGGCGAGCGAGAAAGAGAGAGAGAGAGAGAAAGATTCCGTGACGACCGTGTGGTGGCGCAGCAGAAAATCCGCTGAGTGCTGACATGGCGTCCTAGCGAGAAGTTCGCCCCCATCGTTTGGAATAACACGAAAACGTCTCAAGAATGCCAAGGTAAGGAGGAGTATTTACATCAAGTGTGCTAAAAAAAAGTGTGTTTAATCGTGTGTCGTGTTTATTCGTCGACATACGCTCGGAAAATACACCCGCTCGTTCGTTTTGTCGTGTCAGCCATCGAAGGCAGGCAGGGTCGTTGCCATCTACCTACCCTGCCTCAAAATCGATATTCCCCCATCGGCAGGAAAAAATAAAAGCATTTTTCTCCCATGTGTCAGTGTCGATCACTATTTTAAAGTTGTGCTCCCCGATATTTGTGTTTTCGCGAGTGTCTTCGTTAGTGTGGGTGCGTTTATGTGTTTTTAGGGAAAACCTAAAGGTTAGCTCAACATTCACTAATTCTGTCATCCAGAATAATTTCCCCAATTTTTGAAAAAAATTCGAAAAAGAATTTTTTTTTAGACAGAATTTTTTTCCTTATCGTTGCCGAGATCAGTGAGGTGTTTCTACGTGGATTTAGCTGTGAGAGGGTTGCGTAAATCCTTGTGTTTCTCTCTCGCACACTAATACACTGTCGCTGCCTCTCTCCCTCCTCTCCTCTCTCGACACTCGTGATTTCTTTTCTCTCTCAGTTTAACGTCGAGTTTTAACTCCCCGTCTCAGTTTTTATTTGTGTTGGTATGGCGCTGTCCGTAGGCGCCGATACGCCTTGGGGTGCCTGAGCTGAACCGAGCGCTTTGCTCGCTCGCTCGTCCATCCTCCGACCATCCTCCCCCGACCCATACCCATTCACCAGGTTTCCCCCCTCGTCTTCCCCCCCAATCCCCCCTCGTCATCTCACTTCTATAGGATTCCATAGCCGTTGAGATGTATTGTTGTCACTGTAATATGCTTCTTTCATTTCCATGGAGCGACAAGTGTCGGGCACCGTAACAGGTGAGTTGCGATTGGTGCCGCTCCTCTTCCTACTTTCGGAACGATGATTCTCTCTCTACTCTCGACACAAACACATGTGTTGTATTTTTTTTTCTCCAGCTTTCTTTCTCACGCTATCTTCACTGCGCACAATTCCTAATTCGCAAAACTTGTTTATTTTATTTCCATTTATCATTTTCAATTGAACAATAATTTGTTATAATCACAATTCTCTATAAACTTCTTTGGTATTTTACAGTAAAATTCTTTTCAAAGTGGTTAAAAAATGAAATATTTTTAGATTTAATTCAATTCAAATTGATTCACGAAACAAGTGTTTTTTTCTAATTAAATAAACAGAGTTTTAGTTTTCTTTTCGGTTAGTAATTTGTGTGACAATTTTTTTTACACACCTCGCTTAAAATGTAAGTCGTCCTAAAAACATCCTTCAGTGTCGTAATTGCGTTACACGAGTGTGACGTAACTTTGGACTTGGAGGATACTAAAAGGAATGTTACTCATGCACTGACACGTTTCCAGCATAAATCACCCACGCATAAAAGCCAAGTCTTTCCATTTTAACAATATTTTTTTTTATCAGCAATCTTTGACAGTAAACATTTTTATTCTATCTTGTCGTTTTTTTTTCTCGAAATATAATTCTCTCGATTTGCTTGCTTATTATTTTATTTCCGCAACTCGCAAGACTTCATTTTTTTCGAACCTTGGTTTCTTTTAATGCAAAAATTAGATTTATAATAAAGATGTCAAGGATGAAATTGTGTAAAAAAAATTATTTATTCAAATGGATTTTTTTAAATGAATTTTTTAAATGAATTTTTTTTCGTACTTAAAGCGAGAGAGAGAGATAAAAAGCGTAAAGCAATGTATTTTTGATTCTAATGTGAAGTGAGCTGGAGGGCAAAGTCCCTTTTGATTGCAGGTTTGAAAGTTATTTGGAAAAAATATTTTTTTGAGACATTTCATTGATTAGCCTCTTTAGTGACGTGTGATATTTGACTCTTTTTCAAGTCTCTGTATAAACTTTCGAAAACGGGATATCTTGAGCAGGGCGGTGCAATGGAGAGGGGGTTAACCCCGTTAAGCCATGGCATAAAGCAACTCAAGAAGGCGACTTCTTCTTCTTCTCCTCTTTGGTTTAAAAAAAAAAAAAAGATAAAAAATCATCAACTCCTTAGGAGGTCGACGGGGAAAATTTCCTGTACGCCATCAATCGCATTATTCGCCACGTGTTTCATCACGACGTGCGACTGTTTACACTCTTGTGTCACTCTACACAACACAAATATGTACCCTAAATCTTGAAATTAAAAAAAAAATTCCTATCAAATATTTCTTTGAAGATTTGATATCGTTTTCAAATATTTTTTATCCCACATGCACAAAAACGGCGCTTTCTGATAGCAGCCGACAGGGAGGAAAGTCATTCATTTCTTCGACCGTATGAAAATGGCGGCCGTGTTCTCCCAAGGGCAAGAAAATTAGCTGTTCACATGCATTTTTCTTGCCCAAGGGAGAAATCGGCCGCCATTTTCATACAAATCGAACAAGTGAATGACTTTTACTCCCTGTCGTCTGCTATCTGAAATCGCCGCTTTTGTGCATTAGGAATAAAAAATATCGTAAGTAACACGAGAATAAAGGCAGCCAATTTCTTTACGATGATTTTTGTGACACTCGTTCCGGTCTCGGGGCGCCTACGGCGCCCTCGACCTCCACTCGTGTCACAAAAATCACCGTAAAGAAATGGCTGCCTTTCTCCTCTTGTTGCTTAATATACTATTTTACCCCTCAGTGCTGCAAGATGATTAAAACGACAAATCTTCAAACTTTTCTTATTTATCTTCAGAAATTTTTAAACTAAAGTCAAAAAAAAAAAATTCTTTAGATTTTGGTTATTTTTTCTAAAATATAATAAATGAAATTAAATTTAATAAAAAAATTTAAAGAAATAAATTAATATTGTTGTGTTTGAATCTGTTCGCAGTTTTGAAGTTTCTCAACTTTTTAAATAAATTTCATTTTTCAATGTTTTGAATTTTAAAATTAGTGCATTGAAATTACTAAATTCTTGCAAAGTTTTTATTCAAAAATTTGAAAATAATTAAAGTCATTTAAAGAATTTTATCAAAAACTTTTTTAAATAATTGAATTCTTTCGAGAAAATTTAATTAAAATATTGAAAATAATTGAATTCTCGCAAAAAATATTATTATTTATAAAAAGAATGAAATTCTTCCAAAGAATTTTATTAAAATTATTGAAAATATTTTAATTCTTACCAAGAATTTTATTAAAAAATTTTTTAAATAATTGAATATTGTGAAATATTATTAAAATTGTTTGGAAAATAATTGAATTTCTGCGATGAATTTTACTGTTTATAGATAAAAATAATTGAATTCTCTTTTGTCAGAGAAATTTAGAAAATTGGGATTTTTTTCGACTTATTTTCAAAAATTGCAACTTTTTCGACTTTCCTTCCAAATATTGCAACAAAATATCATATTTTTTTAGTATTATAAATGTAATTCATCTCGATTTTTATAGTGCAAAAAATAAAAACAAATCTTTCAAAAATTATTTTTGAATCATTTTTCTATTTCAATTTTCGAAATATACAGTTAAAAAGATCTTGAATAATTGAAATTTTGTAAAATTTAATTGAAAATAATTTATTTATTGCAAGTATTTTGTTACAATTTTTTAAAATCAAACTTTTGAAGAATTCTAATTGCAAATTTTAAAAATAATTGAATTTCTGCGATAAATTTGACTGTTTATAAAAATAATTGAATTTTTTTTGTCAGGGAAATTTAGAAAATTGAAATTTTTTTCTACTTACTTTCAAAAATTGATACTTTTTCGACTTTTTTTTCCAAATATTGCAACAAAATATCATATTTTTTAGTATTAAATTCAACTCATTTCAATTTTTATTAGTGCGAAAAATAACTATAATCAAATCTTCCAAAAATTATTTTAAAATCATTTTTCTATTTAAATTTTCGAAATATACAATTAAAAAGATTTTGAACATTGAAATTTTGAAAAAATTTAATTAAAAATAATTAATTTTTCTCAAGTATTTTTTTACAATTTTTGAAAATCAACTTTTGAAGGATTTTAATTGCAAATTTTAAAAATAATTAAATTATCAAAAATTTTAATAACAAATCTTTAAAGGTAAATTTAAAAATGAAAATTAACTTCTAATTTTTTAAAATTCAATATTTTCAGTATTTTCAATGATAAATTTCCAAAAATTCAAATACGTACAAAAATAATAACATTTCAGAATTATTTTTAACATTTTGAAGAAAAAAATCATATTCAAAATATTTTATTAAAATTCATCGAAAAATTAATTAGTTTTTTTAAATTATACAAAAGTTCTTTTAAGAAATTCAATTTTTTCGAAAAATTACATTAAAATATATTTTTTAAAACTAATAATTAGAATTGTTTTATACTAATTCATTTAATTTTTAAGAAATCATGGTCCTGTTTATAATTAAAATTCTTCAAAAAATTTAATCTTTTTTATATACATATATATTCTTCAAAAATTCATTAATTTTAAAAGATTCTACCAAATTTTAATTGTTTGCAGATTTTTCAAAATTGAAAAACTATTATTTTACCAAATTTTAATTATTTGGATCTTCTTCAAAATTGAATAACTATTTTCTTTCAAAAATTATTTAGGAATATTTTTAAAAAGTTAATTTTACGAATTTATTTATTTAAATCTTTGAAAATATTCTACCTTAATATCTTTAAAAAGAAAAATGGATGGTTTCAATTATTATAAAAAATTGAGTTTTTGTATTTAAATAATTGAATTCTAGAAGAACTTTTGGAAAATTATTTAAATTAATTGATTCAGAGATCAAGTTTAGTTGAAAATTGTAGAAAATAATTAAATTCAAGAAGGGTTATAATTGTAATTTTTAGAAACTATTAAAATTCATAAATTTTACTCATTTTCCGTAAACATTCAACAAATCTGTTTTAAGATTCAAATTCCATTGGAAAAGAAAATATTCCTACTTTTGTCTTTTTTTTGGGGTAGAAAAATTTTTCTCCACCTATTTTTTTATTTTTTTTAAAATTTTTTA